AGGCCTAATTAATAAATTCAAATTTTCCAATAATTGCGTTGCAGAATTATCATACCAAGGCTTATCTTTTAATTCCACAGGTAGCATTACATAAGCAGGTCTTTGCAATGACATAATAATTGAATAACTTTTATCAAATCCCGAATTTAAACAATTCATCAAGAGACATGACACATATTTAATATGATAAGAATTTCCGTGTTTTGTAATGGTTAGTCCTTGTGGTGAGCCAGCTAATATTCCATAAGGATATCCTACACAGGCTCTTATAGAGATTGGCTTTGGTGTCTTTTCCTTGGCTTTTCTTAGCAACAACATATTAGTTGCTGCAAAGAGTCTAAATAAGTCTGGATGTATTGCAGTAATATTATGAATAGGAGAATGGCTCACATAGATGGGAGACTCCCATCCAGGGGTAAACCATCTTCTTAGAGGTTCCCCCTCAATATTTGGTGTATAAAATTAACATTTTGTGTCTTGTTCAAGAAATATTTTGTATAATTAAAATCCGGACGACTAACTGAATAATCATAAAGGTAATCAGGAGTGTCCACTGGTATATGTTTTGATACCTGTTTATTTCCAAATCCACAATCAAGCCATTTAGGAGATTTAATTAAAGAATCCCAAAGGCGGTCCTTATGATATTTTTTAATACAATCGGCAATGGCATGTCCTCACTTGGCTCCACAAAACTTTCATTATAATTGTGATATCCGCGGGTCATCATTGTGAGCTCCCACACAAGTCTTTTATTAGACTTGGGTTTATTAGATTGATCTGGAGCATCAGTAAGAAAAGTCCTGTAATTAGTAAGTAGACAGCATCTGAATTTTTTAAAACAAATTCTCTAGCAATCTTCTGTGTGACCTTGGGCTTAAGTTTTTGTTAGGAAAATACATGTTTTAGGGATAAGAAGGAAAGAAATTAAACATACATTTGGGAAATGTTGGCTTACCACCTGAACTTTCACTTAACAACTAAACAAAAGATTTTAATATAATGAACTATGAGTTGAACAGACACATAACCTGAATTATCTGGAATAGTAATTTATTTTAAATATATCAAATTTTATTGCATGTTCTTTGATTTAAATCAAAGGACATCTCAAATTTTAATATTTTGAAGAATTATATAAATTCTCTATTAACTCATTTAATTTACTCTTGATTTGGAAATTGTGGTTATCAAGTCTTTGTTCTTTTCCAAAACAAAATTTTATGCATATAGGATATGTTCAGGGCACCATCCTACTTCATATCTACTAAGTCCTCTCTATCTGTACCCCTTCTTTTCTCAGAATATCAGTCACTTTAGTTTTAAATTTTCTGTCTATAACGTATCGTCTTCAGAATTTTATAAGATAATATAAATTATTTTTAACTCAGTGATATTTGTTCAAAACAACTGAAATAAATATTAATAGACCTTTAAATAGAGTAGCAGGAGAAGAGATGGTTATAAAATTGAAATGGGATTTTTGGTTCAGAAAATTTTGGAAATTATTTGTGGAGTTCAGTTATAATTTTCCAGGGAATTTGCCTTTATTTTCTCTGTGTTCCAGGTCTTGCCTGAAATTTAGAAGCCCCTTTCTTCCCCTTCCTTTCTGGTGCTATAAGTCAGTGGTGGTGATCACCTCTGAGGAAGAAAAGCCCCCTTCCACTGACCATGGAGAACACTCAGCATCTCTGCTTGATTGTGACACGGGCAGTTTTTGGATGGATCATGAAATGCTTCTAAAGTAGTCAGGCGTTAACTCTCCCAACCTTTTTATATAATAAGCATGTTACCACCAAGGTAACTTACCCAGTGGAATAAACGTCAACTTATATAGTGAAATTCTATTATTTATGCATTTCACGTACACAAATTCAACTATATCAGAGAACAGAATGTATAAGTGACAGAGAAAAATAACATTAAAACTTCATTATGGCTCAGAAAGTATGGATGAAATTGAATGAAAACGATTTATATAGGTTAAAGAATATATTTGTGGATGATTTTAAAGGCTTCACAGTCATGCTTAGCTAGCCAGGCAAGTAGTAGAGGGGGAAGGGGGAGCTGCTTTGACATTAACTGGGGATATCATTGAGAATTGTTGAGAAGTTAGATTTAAGAATTTGAGAAAGTGACAAATCCTCTACAGAGGATGAAATGATAGCAAGAAAAGTTGGAATTTTGGTAAATTTATTGTGTCCAACAAAGTGAAACATAAGGATGCTTCAATTTCTGAGTGTTCTTTATGGATTTTTCAGTGGTTATTTTTACATAATACTATTTCCTCCTTATAACCAGCCCTCTTAAGTCTGATGCTGTTCCACCAACTGGTAACTGCACCAGTTCTGATAGCATAAATTGAATAAGATATGGGTCATTTCATTAAGAAGCCAATTCTTGTTTAATAATTCCATTTTTTAAAATCTGTATAGTCCTGAGCTTCCTTCTCACAGTGGAAGTCTTTGGATTTAAAAGTCTAGATTCTATAATACATTAACTATTTTTGATATCCTAGTAATTTGTGCAATGTAAACCATTATACTTTGTTTCTAGATCCTTTTTCTATCCTACTTCATGACTACTTCTAACTAGATAATTATTACTTTGGAATTATGTAATTGCCAATATTTTTTTAAAAAACAACACAACTTTCTATATTGGTTTTTTAAAAAGGTGCTGTTTTCACTATGACAAATATGTGAAATAAATTTTTATTCTATGATTATATAGGTGAACATGATTAAAGATGATGGGACAGTTATTCATTTCAACAATCCCAAGGTCCAAGCTTCCCTCTCTGCTAACACCTTTGCAATTACTGGTCATGCAGAAGCCAAACCTATTACAGAAATGCTTCCTGGAATATTAAGCCAGCTTGGTGCTGACAGCTTAACAAGTCTTAGGAAGTTAGCTGAACAGTTCCCAAGGCAAGGTATGTATTTCCACATAGTACCTCTCTCCTCCTTAATTAAAGGCTCTACTTTAGATAGGAGCTCTGGTGGCCTAGAGAATGAGGAGTTGTGCTACCAACCTAAGGGCAAGCAGTTCAAATTTACTAGCTGCTTAGTGGAAGGAAGATGGGGCCTCTCCTCCCTTGTGACTTACAGCCTCTGGAAGGTCAGCAGTGAGTTTGGCTCCAACTCAATAGCACATAACAACAGCAATACTTTAGAAGCTCTTTGGTGGTGGTTTAAGGCCTCTGGTAATTCAAAACTACCAACCATTTCCAGAGAAAAAGCTAAAAACATTATGCTTCCATAAAAATGTATAGCTTTGAAAATATTGGGCATTTTTACTGTCTTACAGGGTCACTGTGGGTCCAATTCAAGTCAATGGCAATGGGTTAATCCTTTAAAAGATGTCTTAATCTGAAAAGATTTGCCTATATGTAAATTGTTTTTTTATAAAGTTCATTTGTATACTTGACATAATTTTGTGTTTATTTCTTTAAAGTTATGTAATGCATCCACTTCCTAAATGAATGTTGATAAATGATGATAGTTATAGAAAGGCTTCAGGCCTTTTGTTCATAGGATCACTATGAGTTGTGCTCAGCTTGATGGCAATCAACAACAACAACAATGTAGCACATAAAATATTTTTATACATTATGGTAGTTATATAGTAAATTTTAAAAACAAAAAGTACTAGGATATGCAGACCATATTTTATAGAGTTAGTTTCAATTCTGATTAGTGAATGTCAGAAAATAGTGTTATTACAGAACGGCATTTTTGTTTAACATGGTTGATTGTACTATCAAACAGTAAGTTCTGCATTTACAAGATTATTTTGGATTCGCATAGGTTTTCTAAACTCCAAAATGCTTATTTCAGTGCATATATTATATATAGAGACATTTTCTTACACTAGGAGGAGATGGAAAAAAGTTAGTAATGGTTGTAACTTAGAAAATATGGGCACTCTAACTATGATACCTTTTTGTTGAAATTCATCTGAATTATTCCATTTTGCTTATAAATTATGTAGCTTTGCTGCACATTGCAAATGTCAGACATATTTAGAGTATATCTAAAGTTTTATTGATTTTTGTTTTGTTTATTGTTGTTATGTGCCATCAGATCGCCTGCAACTCATAGCGACCCTGTGTACAACAGCCCTAAACCCTGCTCTATCCTGTTCCAATCTTATTGTCTCTGACACATCTACCATCAGTACCCCAGTCATTGAGTCAATCCAACTCATCAAGGGTCTTCCTCTCTTGCGCTGTCCCTCCACCCTCACAAGCATGATGTCCCTCTCCAAGGACTGGTCCCTCCTAACAACATGTCCAAAGTATGTCAGACGAAGCTTCAGAATCCTTGCCTCTAAGGAGCATTACTGGTTTCACCCTGTCTAGGATGAACCTGTCTATCTTCCTAACAGTCCATGGTATATTCAGTACTCTAAACCAGCACCACAGCTCAAAGGCATCAATTCCCCACTTATCATCCCTAGTCATTGTCCAGTTTTCTGATATATAACAAGTAATTGCAAAGACTATGGCCCAGATCAGGCGCACCTTAGTCTCCAGACTGACATCACTTCTGTTCGATTTTCATGTTAAGTAAGGAAAAAAATATTACTTGCATTAGAATGACATTTCCTTTTGTCTGAGTAACTATATGATAGAAGTCTGGCTCCTAACCAAAAATCAGCAGTTTAAATCCACAAGCTGCTCTAAGGGAATAAAGATGGTCACTCTCCACTCATGAATGATTTGTAGCCTGGGACACCTATGAGTTGGAACCAGCTAGTTGACTGTGACGGGTGTTTATATGAAACTTAGCAAAAAGAACAAACAATTCAAGTAGTGTGTAAAGTCTTTGTTCTCAATGATTGATATTAAAATTAACTTTTTATAGTGTTGGATAGCAAAACACCAAAACCAGAAGACATTGACGAGGAAGATGATGATGTTCCAGGTAAGTAATATTTGCTTAGTTTTAAGATTTTTAGTATTCTGTTTATCACATCTTAATTACTGCATTAGATCCCTTTTGAGCTTTCCATTGATGTGTGAATTTTAATTGATTGGCATCAGTGCAAATAGGAGCTAGTGAAAAAAAGAGTTGAAAACCTGCTCATTTAGAATTTGGAATCAGAAATAGTTACATACCAGAGGTGTGCAGTTCAAATCCACCAGTTGCTCTGCTGGAGAAGGAGGGACAATCTCTTCTTGTACCAGTCATATAATTTGACGGTACACACACACAAAAATAATAAAAATTTTTTTTTAAAAAAAGGAAATACACAGAACTCTGCTACCTCTATTTATTAAATTAGCATTTCTGTGATTTTAAATTTGCATGGTTATTATTGCTACCTTTCTGTGAGAATTGTGATTAATGTGAAAATGCTGTTTATCTAGTGTTTTGCATAGACAAATAAAAGACGAATAGTAAATATTTATTTAGGATTAATGTTTTTAAGAAGATAAATGACTCCTTGTTGGTGAAGTTTGTTTCTGTCTTTTGTCCTGTATACTTTTATATAATTAATTATTGTAGCAAAAATTTTATTTTTATTGAGGTTAGGATTTAGGAATTCCATTTACCTCTGTTTCTTTTCTTTTCTTTTTTTTTTTTAATTTGACTCATTTACTTTTTCTCTTTTTATTCCACCTCCCCTTTTCTAGATCTCGTAGAAAATTTTGATGAGGCATCAAAGAATGAAGCTAACTAAAATCTTTTTTGGTTTTTGGAAGCTGGCATGGACTAGATTTAACACATCAGCTATGTGGTTCCAAAGTTTTACAGACACGGAGAACATCATCTGTTACTAGCTCAGTAATATAAATATTTTGTATATTAATAATGCTGTTTGTTCAGCATTTTTCAGTCATTTGATTTTGCATTTTGCACTTCCTCCCAGGAGTTAATCTTTTTGTCAAAATGCGCAGTATCAGTGCAGTTTGAGGCTGTTTCTGATTCTTGTTTTTTTTGTTTTTTTTCTTGGGGAGTTACTGGTGTGTGTATGTGTATGTATGGGTGTGGGTATGTTTGTGTATACAGTGGAGAGCAAATTGGAAAACAGTTCTATTTATCCTCCCCCTTTGCCCAGTAGAAATAAAACAAATCTTTACATTTGTTACCATTTTTTTTCCCCAGTAATTCACAGAATTACTAAAAAGTGAGTATTTGAATTTCAGATTGGAAGAAAATTTACATTTGGAGGTTTTGTTTTTCATTTGCATTGTTAATCACCGTATATTTGATGCATTTCTCTGGGTTTAAAACACTTTGACTTTCCTATCAGCTTTAAGCTGGAGATAAGGAATCTAGCTTTGGTGAAGTTGTGTTAGATTCATTTACCTAGTCAGACCCAGAAAAATTCCTTAAAGTAAGTAACTTTCTCCCTGTCTTTCTAACTCTGATTTTCCTCTCCTTTTGGTTTAAAAATGGCCTAGTCGGCCTTTGGTAAGGCTCTTCCTAATCTTCCACTTAGCCTGAGAAGGTTGTTCTCTGAATAGCATTAAGTGAGTGCCTAATCTCGCTCTTTGTAAGATTTTGTTTCCTCATCCAAAGGAATAGCAGCTCATCCTCAATTTTTCCATTTCCCCTTGACTTTACAGTTTATTAGATCTCAAACTGGAATAGCTAGCATGTGCTTGCTAAATAATTTTGTGTCAGCCTTACCCTGTAGGTGTTCTTAATAGCAAGTGTAAACATACCTCTTTTTTCAGCAAGGTTGAAATTGAAAATGCCCTTTGATTCATGAAAAAACAAATAATAGACTCATCCCCTACCACAAGATGGGCATTCTGTAAAATGGTATTGGCCTTGGGGATTTCTTCAGCCACCCCCCCTACTTTTTTTTGGCCTTGGACCTACCTCTGAGTTGGATCTTAAAATTGTAGCTGCTCATAGCACTCCTCCTGCATGCTTAGAGTACTGCTTTGGGGGAAAACACTGGTAAAACACAGTATTTATTTTTCACCTCCTTTAAGATAAAGACAGACTTAGAGGTAAGTTGCATTCATTTACTCAAGTTTCCTTCTTGCTGTCTATTGAGAAAAGCTTGCATTTTGCTATTCAGCATTTGTTATAACAAATAGTTAAAATAAGACTTTAGAAAATCTTTTCTGGCCCATCATCAAACTAAATACAGCTTAACTTTGCAGCAAATCAATTTTTGTTTCAAGTTAGATATCTTTATTTGATATCTAAAGTGCAAGACTGACGACGTTACAAGAGATCTTTAGACATGAAGGCAAAGCTGTGTTTTTTTCTTCCATACACTTCATTTTTTTAAATAAATTTGTTCATTTTTTTCTGTTGTTTTATATAAACATATGGACTTAACTAAAAAAATAAAAATAACAGTACAAAGGAGGATAACATTTCCTCTTGAACTTCTTTCATTGTTGTGTATGAAGTTTCTTTCTTTTGTATTTCTTCTCTATTTCCTACCTTAAAGTGAATTTTAGAGCAGTCATTATTTTGAAATAATGTCCCTCTCATTGTCAGGTCAGTAACTACATACACCACATAGCTCAGAATTCTGTTTCTCTGACTATCCTGAAAAGGCATCTTGTGAGGCAAAAAGAGTTAGGACAATTCAGTTAGTTGGGGACATATAACAGGTAGTTAATATAGCAATTGAAAAAGGAACACTTGCCATGAAATCAGGAGACTGAATTCTAGGCTAGGTCTGACATACATTATGTGACCTTAAGCAAGACATTACTGTTCACATGAGATTTTCTAAATCGATAGTTTTTCCACTGCAGTTCTGTGTTGCATTTCATTTCTCAAAATTCTCAAGAAGGTAATTTTATTATCTTTTTAAGATATCTTTGTTTTTACCTGTATCCATACAGGTTTTTTTGTTCACACATGCACTCCTTATTTTTTCCTCTGGATCACATTTTTAGCCATCACTTAGGGAGTTCTGGATCACTTGCTTTCTATATATGTGTGCTCGCTTGCTCGCTCGATCTATCTATCGATCTATCTATCTATCTTCTGGCCTTATGTATTCCCTTATATACTGTGGACAACAACTTCAGATGATTAGCTTCTCTTGTGTGCAATTATCCACTATTTTTATTTCATATCTTCATATCTTCCCTTTTTCTGGACAAAGCATATTGAGATCCTGTCCCAGTCCCACCCCAAAACATGTTCAACCTGTGTTCAGAGTGAGTAAGTGAATGAAACTGTTTATAAATTGTCATATTCTTGGCACAAATATGTGCTATACCATTTTATTACACGCACACATGCACATATACATATGTGCTTCTGGAGACCAGAAAACATGGTTCTGTCCACTGTTAGATTTAATCCTACACTGCATTTTTAGTTCACCTGGCCAACTGTGATAGCCTTCTCTTTGGTCTTACTCATGATTTACTCCCTCCAGTACATCCTCTGTGCCAGAGCCAGACTGATCTAAAATTACAGTCTCAACACATCATAGTGCATTTCCTCCAACATACCATTTTGTTTAAAGTTTCCATTCTGTTGTATGTATTTTTATTTTAGTACTCACACGTGATTATTTTTCTATTTTCCCATCTAGATTATGGGTACCTTAATGGCAGAAGTTAGCCTATATTTTGTTCCCAACATCTAGCACTGTGCCCAAAATATAGGCTGTAATACTCCTGGCCATAAGACCTCTTATTTGACTACAGCTATTGAATACAAAGTTGTCTAATTCCTAAACAAATCAGTGAGGCAGCTATAATCCCACTTTTAAAGAAAGTGGGGGAAAATGATTTAGGAAGGTTGCCAAAAGTCTCACAAAGCAATTGATCAGAGAACCAGGATTCTAATTTGGCTCTATTAAATTCTAGAATACTTTTCACCCCATGGTGCTCAACAAGTATTTATTGAAAGGAAAATTATGTGCCATCTAGAAGCCATCATCAGATTCCTGTGTATAGGAAACCCCCAACTTAAAAACATCTGTAATGAAAAAAATAAAAATTAAAAAAAACCCATCTGTAATTATGAACGAGCCTCTATAAAGCCTATTACAGGTGGTTCCTGGGTTACAAACAAGATCCCTTCCGGATTGTTTTTAAGTGGGATTTATAGGTTTGTTGGGAAGGGTGCATATGGTTCTCAATGCAGCTTTACATTACTGCAAGAAAAAATCTGAAGCCTTGTCAGTGATGATTCACTCACATGTGCCAAGTAAGTGAACATGATTGTGATGAAGAATTTGTTATGAGTAGATGCTGGTTCAGTTGTTTCAAAATGAAAACAAGTTTGCATATAATTAAGTGGCAAATAAGATTTATTAGTAAATCAAGTACTTTTAACGTAGGGATTACTGGTATATAAAAATTCAAGGTCCATAATAACAGACAAGGGGGTAGAGCATTTGACTGCATTATAACAAATGGATTGCTTTTTTTTCCATTGTCACCATCTTTTTTTTTAATCCAGTTCATAACTAAGCATAGAGCACTATGTTGTTGTTGTTGTTGTTGTTGTTATATGCTGTCAAGTCGCTTGCGACTCATAGTGACCCTGCGTACAACAGCCCTAAACTCTGCTCTGTCCTCTGCCAATCGCATGTCTCTGACATTCTGATCCTGATTACCCCAGTCACTGAATCAATCCACCTCATAGAGGGCCTTCCCCTCCTACGCTGTCCCTCCACACTACCAAGCATGATGTCCCTCTCCAAGGACCGGTCGGTCCCTCCTTACATGTCCAAAGTATGTTAGACGGAGCCTCAGAATCCTTCCCTCAAAGGAGCTGCCCAGTTGAACCCTGTTTGTTTTCCTAGCAGTCCATGGTACCCTCAATACTCTTCTCCAGCACCACAACTCAAAGGCATCAACCTCCTTCTATCCTCCTTAGTCACTGTCCAACTCTGATGCATAACAAGTGTAGCAAAGACCATGGCCTGTATCAGATGCACCTTAGTCAGTACTTTGGATAGGTCCCTAACAGCAGACTTTCCCATGGCAATGCGCCTTTTAATTTCCTGGCTACTGGTGCCAAGAGTGTTGACTGTGGAGCCAAGCAAACTAAAGCTGTGAACAATCTCAATCTCTTCACCATCCATCCTGATGCTGCCAATTGGTCCAGTGGTGAGAATCTTTGTCTTCTTGACATTGAGCCTCAATCCATATTGGAGGCTTCAGTCTTTGACCCTCTGCAGCAAGAACTTCATGTCCTCTTGAGTTTCCACAAGCAGGGTTGTATCATCTGCATATCACAGATTGTTGCTAGGTCTTCCACCAATCTTGACCCCACATTTCTCCTCATAGAGCCCAGCCTCCTGGATGATCTGTTCTGCATGCAGGTTGAAAAAGTATGGAGACAGGACACATCCCTAGCATACACCCTTCCCAATTTTGAACCATGCAGTGTTTCCTTGCTCTGTTCTGACAACTGCCTCTTGGTCCAGGTGTAGGTTTCTCATTAGCACGATCAAGTGTTCTGGGATTCCCATTCTTCTCAGAGTCAGCCACCGTTTGTTATGAGCACTATAGAATATAGCACTATGTTGTTGTTGTTATTGTTATGTGCCATCAAGTCGTTTGCGACTCATAACGACCCTGTGTACAACAGCCCTAAACCCTGCTCTATCCTGTGCCAGTCACACTGCCTCTGACACACCCATCCTGATTACCCCAGTCACCGAATCAATCCATCTCATAGAGGGTCTTCCCCTCTTGCGCTGTCCCTCCACCCTCCCAAGCATGATGTCCCTCTCCAAGGACCTGTCCCTCCTTGCAACATGCCCAGAGTATGTCAGACCAAGCCCCAGAATCCTTGTCTCCAAGGAGTTGCTTGGTTTAATCCTCTCCAGGATGAATCTGTTTGTTTTCTTGGCAGTCCATGGTACATTCAATACTGTTCTCCTGTCCTCCCTAGTCATTGTCCAACTCTCTGATGCATAACAAGTGATTGCTCAATGTCAAGAAGACAAAGATTCTCACCA